TGAATGGAGTTACGTAGATGTCTGGCATTACTCTATTGTTAATAGGTAAAGTATGATTTACAGGGGCAAGATATTACTAAATTTGAGAGCATTGTGACAATGTTACAATAAATAATAGCTAGTTTAAATATATCTTATACATTATAAGTTTATTATTAAATATGGACTTCCGGCAATAGTGGACACTCCCTTTCCCAAATTAGCCCGTTAAATCGAGAGTCTTCTGTGCATTAAAAAAATAGTATTGTATAAACTAATATCTTGGAAGAAAACAAAATTTTTCTGTCAGTAAATCTGTTAGAAAAAATTATTTGCTGACATTTAAATTAATGTAATAACAGGTTAACTTTAAAATTAAAAAGAAAATTAATATAAAAGTAAATAATTAATTTTTTCTTCTTTCTTAATTAATTATTATCTTGTCGGCTTTATCACATAAGTTATAGACATTGCAGGGTTTATTAAAAGAAAGGATTATCGATTTATGTCATAGGATGTCACTTCTTGTTTCCTGAGGAGAAAACACTAAAGATATATATCGACTTGTAGCTATTTTATCTAATTTCTGCATCCTGGAGTAAACTTTAACACTTATAATCATTTTGTGGCTTTCATAAATTTATACCGTTTAGCTCTTTTAAAGCTTAGAGACATTATTTCTTATTTAATTTTTTTAATATACCCTTGTTTTATATCAGTATAGAAAGGGTTTACAATAAAGTCGACCAGAAAAAACTTTGGGGACATCTAATCTATAAGAATGGAAAATTCTCCCTAGATTTCTTTATATTAGTAATTATAGTATATTAGTAGTATATTGTAGTATAAGTATTTGCATTATTTAAGTTATAAATCTAAATTTTAATCTGAATAAATATAAAAAAAGCATATTTTTAAAATAATTGTGCAACTGTAGAAATGCCTCAATCACACTCTCCTTCAGCTTCTGTGTTGTACTAAAGAGCTAAGAAATGCAAACGAACCCTTCGTTTTTGTAATAAAATTTGAACGTCTGTCTTCATATGTTATTTTTTGTATCTCCTAGCCTCTAGAAACACTATAAAAATATCGCAATCACTTCGCAAAACACCTCCGTATATGTTTGAGATTGAAAAATATAGTGATCTCAACCCTCTGTCTATACGGCCTTAATTAAGGTAATATTATAACAGCATATCTTGTAAATTTTATAAAGATGAAAAATTAATATTAGTACCACTGGAAAAATTCATTGTCTTAGGATTTAATTATGTTTCCAAGTCCGATAATAATGCATCTTAATTAATGACATTTAGGTGTGGTTTACCCCAATCGTTCCCACCCCGAAACCCGATAAACATAACTAAATGTGGAATAGAAACAACAGAAAAGTTTGTCGTTTATAAAAGTTTAATTTACGAAAAACCTTCAGTAACAAAATGGAGTCGTAAAGTCGGGGTCATACTGACTCAGATTTTGATGGGCTATATATATATATATACAGGCAGAATGTAAAATATATAGATACTGTACGTTGCTCCCACTATACGCGAGCTCCTTAATCGTGTTCTTCACCAACGCTGAATTGAACGTGGTGTAACAGCAGACGACAACCTGCTTCCCTGTCCACCCCGTTTGCCAGATTTAAACACCCCGCTATTTCTTTTTGCGGGGGTTTGTTAAAGACCGAGTTTCTATACCGTCAATGCCCATGTCCCTTGAGGAAATGTGTGATCGGATAAAGCACACACTACAGACCATCACGGAAAGCACGCTACACCTCTTATGGGAAGAATTTGATTACTGTGTAGATGTGTGTCGTGTGGCCATGGGTGCACATNAATAGCATAACTCACTTCTTTCAAAAAACAATGCTTCATAAATAAAACAATTCACTATACTTATAACATACCTATGTATATAAAAAAGATCTACACGGAATACAACTAAAACAAGAACCAGCAAAACGTCTGAAAAATAAATAAATACATAAAAGAACTAAAAAAGAAGTTAATGTTAATTGGTATTTATACAGAATAATTAATATCTGGGGAAAAAAAAGATAAATGATAAGAAATATGAAAGAATTAAAACAAATAATAACATCATATATACAGTCGACCCCCTATAACGCGGTAGATACGTTCCGCTTTATAAGAATTTCGCGTTGTAGGAATCCTCAAATACATGAGCCAATCACAGCCCGGCACGCGTGCAGTTTATGGACTACGGCTATTTGAAAGGTTTTCTTCCATAAAATTAATCGATTCTAAACTAATTTCACTCAACATTTCCGAAACACGTATAATTTTTTGGGAATAATCTGTATAAACTATGTCCACTATTGGTCCAGATTCGACCAATCCTGTCGCNTATAAGTATTTGCATTATTTAAGTTATAAATCTAAATTTTAATCTGAATAAATATAAAAAAAGCATATTTTTAAAATAATTTTGCAACTGTAGAAATGCCTCAATCACACTCTCCTTCAGCTTCTGTGTTGTACTAAAGAGCTAAGAAATGCAAACGAACCCTTCGTTTTTGTAAAAACATTTGAACGTCTGTCTTTATATGTTATTTTTTGTATCTCCTAGCCTCTAGAAACACTATAAAAATATCGCAATCACTTCGCAAAACACCTCCGTATATGTTTGAGATTGAAAAATATAGTGATCTCAACCCTCTGTCTATACGGCCTTAATTAAGGTAATATTATAACAGCATATCTTGTAAATTTTATAAAGATGAAAAATTAATATTAGTACCACTGGAAAAATTCATTGTCTTAGGATTTAATTATGTTTCCAAGTCCGATAATAATGCATCTTAATTAATGACATTTAGGTGTGGTTTACCCCAATCGTTCCCACCCCGAAACCCGATAAACATAACTAAATGTGGAATAGAAACAACAGAAAAGTTTGTCGTTTATAAAAGTTTAATTTACGAAAAACCTTCAGTAACAAAATGGAGTCGTAAAGTCGGGGTCATACTGACTCAGATTTTGATGGGCTATATATATATATATACAGGCAGAATGTAAAATATATAGATACTGTACGTTGCTCCCACTATACGCGAGCTCCTTAATCGTGTTCTTCACCAACGCTGAATTGAACGTGGTGTAACAGCAGACGACAACCTGCTTCCCTGTCCACCCCGTTTGCCAGATTTAAACACCCCGCTATTTCTTTTTGCGGGGGTTTGTTAAAGACCGAGTTTCTATACCGTCAATGCCCATGTCCCTTGAGGAAATGTGTGATCGGATAAAGCACACACTACAGACCATCACGGAAAGCACGCTACACCTCTTATGGGAAGAATTTGATTACTGTGTAGATGTGTGTCGTGTGGCCATGGGTGCACATATTGAAGGATTGTGATTAATGCATAAAAAACTTGGACAGTTGCCGCTGCTTTTGCTATAAGGTTTGCCCGTATAAGGTAATAGATAGATTTATTATTAATTTTTAAAACCGCACCATTCATTTACAGCGATTTAGAAACTATACTTTTATATTATGAAAATGCATAAAGACCTACAGGTGTTTCAATTAAAACTACCAAACAATAAATCCGAGTTTGTCTTATAACCTTTCAATACGCTCGTCTAAGCGATCGATTTTTCAAAATTCAATTTTGACAACTCATTATTCAATTTACTTTCTATGATTCACACAAAATGAAGGGATAAGCATGGGACCCGTTATAGGACCTAAATTAGCTGAAATTGTAATGATTAATATAGACGAAACGATAAATAAAATAGAAGGCATTAAACTTTACAGACGATATCCTAATTATATACAACAACACAGAGATTAAAATTGAGAAAATTAAAAATAAAATAAATAATATACATTAAAAAATACAGTTCAAAATTCGAAGAAGAAAATAGCACTAATTACTTAAATGTAACAATTAAAAGAAACAATAATAGCACAACTTTCACTCCTTTCAAAAAACAATGCTCCATAAATAAAACAATTCACTATACTTATAACATACCTATGTATATAAAAAAGATCTTCTACACGGAATACAACTAAAACAAGAACCAGCAAAAACTCTGAAAAATAAATAAATACATAAAAGAACTAAAAAAGAAGTTAATGTTAATTGGCTATCCATGCAGAATAATTAAAATCTGGGAAAAAAAGCTAAATGATAAGAAATATGAAAGAATTAAAATAAATGATAACATCAGATATACAGGCGACCCCCTATAACGCGGTAGATACGTTCCGCTTTATAAGAATTTCGCGTTGTAGGAATCCTCAAATACATGAGCCAATCACAGCCCGGCACGTGTGCAGTTTACGGACTACCGCTGTTTGAAAGGTTTTCTTTCATAAAATTAATCGATTCTAGATTAATTTCACTCAACATTTCCAAAACACGTATAATTTTTTGGGAATAATCTGTATAAACTATGTTCACTATTGGTTCAGATTCGACCAATCCTGTTGCGACACGAGTCGGCTATGACGTTATACCGCATTTTACGAGTCTCTTTTAGCGTCTTTATACGAATACGATCGCAAATGCAGCGATATACGAATCCGCATTATGTGAACCCACGTTATAGGGGGTCTACTGTATTAATTTTCCCTATATACGAAGAGATAGATAAAGAATTGAAAAAAATAAACTCATTATTCTTATAATTTTTCTCGTGATGATAATTCTAAAGACGTTAGCACGCGCTTCCTATGGGTATTGTGACGTTACTGGGAAGTGTTTATGTAAAACTGGCGTTTTTCCCGTCTGAAAAAGTGATGTTTTCGTACCGAAATGCATTTTAATCCGCCATTATATTATCTTGACTTTACGTTAGACGAGAGTTGTTAAGCTATGGCACCCCGTTCCGCCATTATCAGGATACGTTTTTTTTATACCCTCTCTCTATTGGTCGGAATACAATTATATTGTTATAACATAAATTTATTATTCTTTTTTTCCAGACCGAGAAAGTACATAAAAAAATCATTTTTCTCAGTTACTTATGACTATGGAAAGAGTTCAAAGAAGAGATATCCATCAAGTAGAAAAGGAAGGTTTATTACTCTTCACTGAAGTGGAAATTAAAATATTCTTAATATAAAATTAATAAGTGATTTTCGTACAAAGTGTAAATGTATATTTAAATACAAAAATCATCAAAATTAACTTGAAATTTTTCATTCTCGCAGACATGTTCAACATCATCCTCCATCCTTATTGTACTTGTATACATTTCTTCCAGTACCATAGCAAAATATTTGCCAGAAGTTCTATCTTGAAAAAGACAACCATAGTTCCATTTATCATTTGTAATCTTGAAAATGTAACCAATAACTTTTTCATCATCTATTCTTATTAATTTCTCTTCTTCTATGTAAAATGTGTCCAAGAGATTTTCGTCATTGACGAAGAAACAGTATTCGAAATATCTATCGGAATAGGGAACTCCATCTTCTTCGTCTAACTCTGTGTAACATTTTAAGAATCTTTTCAATCCATTCAAATCGTAATAGGAATTGTCATCAATGGAATCATCAGATAACTCCTGGTCTGATGTACTATCAATGGAGTCAAATGATGAAGAAGACTCATCATAGCTTGAAGATTCGTCATCAGAAAATAAATTTAATGGAAAACCCCAGTTTCTTACAGACATCCAATTGTATTTATTCATATAATTCAACACATCGACATTAATTCCAACATCGGATTTCATTAAATATTCATCTATCTTCTTTGGTGAAATGTCTTCATGATGAACTATTTTCACTTTAGAATCGTGCAATGTACTCAAATTATATTTACCAATTAAGAATTCTCTTTTAGTATTTAATTCGTAAATAACTGTACCAATATGTAATTTCTTTTGTGTATTTTTCTTCAAGAATATATCTTTTATATCTCCGAATCCAACAAATCCAGTTACCTCCATTTTTATTTAACTAGGAATCGAAAGATGTTCAATTAATCTGTAAATAAAACGTCTTTAATACTTTAAATTTAAATATTTTCTGTAAAACATTACGACTTATTGTAAAATTATTTAAACTATAAATAATTAAGTATTATTTGAATTTTTAATAAATAAATTTCGTTACCTTAATTATCTATTCAAGGCAAGTCTTGTTAGTCAATCTTCACACTGGAATGACACTAAAAATGCATGCATACATTTAAAAACACTAACACTCCTATTATAATTGAACTAATTTAATTCAACTACAATAAAATTACTAGTTTTAATCATAAAAATATTTGAAAAATAAATACATGTTTTAAAACATTATCAGTAAGTTATTGAGCGTTTGTAAGCAGTTAATTTGCATATTTTAACGTATAAAACAGCATTAGTTTATAATTATTGTAGTCTTGAACCAATGAACCAATAAGGAGGAGCAAAATAGCTTGCTCCGTGATCTCTTCACCATATTGGTGTTGTGGGAGGAAAATACACACACGCTGTTCTGTATTATTGCTTTGTTGGCCTGCAATTTGAAAAAAAAATTACAGTAGAACTATAAATTCCCACTTCCTGTCCTTTCTTAATCTCGGGAACTACTAGATATATAAATATCTGGACAAGATTAGAGGTAGGAGGCCTCGATTAACTATATAAGGACTTCTGGTTTGCACTGGAAGTCACGTTATTTCAATTGAAAAATTTTGCCAGCAACACTCTGTTGCTAGCAGGAAAGTATGATATATAGGCGCAAGATATTAATAATTTGAGGTGGAAAGCATATATTTTAAACAAATAAATTAAACGTATGATTAAAAAAACAGCGAGGCATACAATCAATGGTTGCTTGAAGTATCCAAACTGTGTCCACTGCGGAGCGAATGTCTTCTATGGTATATGACGGTGGTCCCCGGTGCACCTTACTCAGGACGAACTCCCACGGGATGAGAGAGAGATCCAGCAAAAATACTGCATGTCTTCGTGGCATTTTCTACACTTCTTCGAATATTTGGCTATCGAGAACCATAGGTGGTAGCATTTACGGTACGAGCCGGCTGCTGGGCTTTATTGACCGAAAATTAAAGTATAAAATTATGCTTTTTATTCTAATTTAAAAAAAATATATATATATACAGTAGAGCCTCGATTATCCGACTCAATTGGAGACTGGGGTTGGTCGGATAATTGAAAATTCGGATAACCGAAAAGTATAAAAAAATCCATTATTAGTGTAGTATATTATTATATCCCATGTAATTAGTATATTAGTATTTCGCTATTAACCTACTTCGCGTTGAATTTTCCTCCATGTTAAGCCTATCAAATTAAAAAAAAAAATAATCGTCGCTATTGTATCGTTAAAAATTAGAAAATTAAGCCTCATTTAAATACTGGCTCCCTTTTATGGTCGAATGAGTGTTGCCAGCTAAAACATGTAAAAATAATATTAAAGTAGCCAAGACATAGCCAAATATTGTAGCGCCACATCACTAGCGGACATTTGAAATTTGCCGACTAAGACGGTCGGTTAACCGAGGTTTCGGTTAATCGGAGGTCGGATAATCGAGGCTCTACTGTATTAATAAAGAAAGTTGTTTCTATTCTCCGATAGTGTAATTTTAAAAACAAAAAATATGGAACAAGTAAAGGAGATTCGAATCATTTTGAAAATGTATTCTACACAACGGCTTTCGATTGTTCTTTACATTTTAATAAGTGAAATAACGATTTATATTTACCCAAACATGAATTTTATACTTAATTATGAAATTATTGACATACAAATCATTGTTAAAGAAGGATTTGAAAATGAATCATCAGGTAAAATTGAAAAGATCATTGTAAAATTTTACGCAGATAAAAGAAATTTCCGTTTATCTCTACAACGAGATTTATCAAGTGCCAACGAATATTTAAACTATAATATATTTATCTACAACGAAAATATTACCAAGATTAATTTAAATAATCTACGTGAATCTTTTCTTTATTCTGGAACTGTAATAGGTGAAGAACATTCGGCCATAACTGGATATTTTCATAACAACATATTCATTGGTAGAATTACTATGAAGTATGAAGTTTATTATGTAGAAGCAGCCTATAAATATTTTGAACAAGATTTTTATGTGAATAAAATGTTGTTTTATAAGGAAACGGACATCCTATCTCCAAGATGCTTAATGAAAAAGAAGAAAAACGATTGCGAAAAAAGTAAAATGAGGAAAATCCTATACGATACTTACTACTTTTCTAACGTTATTGATTCTGAAAATACCAAAAAGCAGCGAATGATAATGAAAAAGTAAGGAGTGAGTGTATATAATGTAATCCATTCTTCCAATTAGAGTTTTAAATCTTATTATGATGCTTTTTCATTCGTTCTATGGGCACTAAGAGAGCTTTATAATCGTGCCCATTATGGATTTAACAAAGCTTGGGGGGACGAGAGATAGGGATGGATCACACACGACCTCGGATTTTTCCCCTTGCTTGAATTTGATTTTGTCTTTTTCAGTTTTGAAGAAACATACGGGATAGAGTTCATGCGAGCGAGACACCTCGGCCATTCGGCCATTTGATCTTTAGGTTCCTGTGGTTCCCGAAGTTTTTGTTCGTCTTTCTAGACCTTGGCACGAATGGTAGCTAGTCCATAAACCTAACTTTTATCTTTCTGATGAGCCTGTGTGAAAGGTATCACATTTCGTGGATTCAGTTAGAAAGTGACTACCCTCAGTTAACGTATAAACGTTTATTTATTGCAACTTATATTTAAACACTACTCAACTAAGTTACCGAAAGAAGAGAGTTACAGTCGGATATTAAGTAATTTCAACATTATCACAAGTTTTTATTACAGGGAGACAAATGTCGTCCACTTCCCCATCTTATTCCCTGAATGACCATTCTATTTTCATTCGTCGTTCACTAGTGGTCTTGTAGATAAAACCACTAAACACTGAGAGTTAGTGACGGGTTTTCTCTTTACCAAAGGGCTGGACACATGAAATTTTCTGGGTTTTCAAGTGTAACACAAATAGGGGACAGCCTCACATAAAATTCCTCAGGGAGACGTTTCCCTCTTAACAGATACCTTCTACAGATTTTAAGTTGTGATTGTTAATGATACCGTTATAATCTTTAGCAACTTTACACAGTAGCAATAGAAGTAAACTATCGAGTTTTTATTTTAAAAAATCAATTTTTCTATCATATAACTTTGTTAAAAATCATTTCACGTTTTCTTATTTTAACAAATTATATATCATTGATTTAGGAATCAACTTCTTTGTGTAATTGACTTGATAGCAGATCATACATTCGTGAAATTCATGAACTACAACACTGCTATAACTGTTGCAGAAATGCTTTATCACGTGAAATTAGTTGACAGAATATTCAGTTCTACAGATTTTGATAACGATGGAATAGCAGATAGAATTGGATTTGTAATAGGTAAAATTAAAATGTTTGCTAATAAATCTAATCCTAGATACCCGATAAAAGAAGAGAATATCAAAACATCGATATCTTATTTAAATAACCTCTCGAAATATTATCAACAAAACATATGCTTGGTTATAGCATTCTGTCATAGGAATTTTCTTGATGCCATTGGAGCAGCATTTATAGGTACAGTATTTCATTAAATGTAAAATACAGTCGACCCTCCCTATAATACTGTTGATAATTCCCTTTTATATGAATTCCATGTTGTACGAGTCACTTAGATTTTACAAATACGTGTGCTGGGCTGTGAACGGCTCACGTATTTGTAAAATCTAAGTGACTCGTACAACATGGAATTCATATAAAACGGAATTATCAACAGTGTTATAGGGGGGTCGACTGTGTATTTACCGTATTATTTTACAAACGTTTTCAATATCAATCCAATTAAATTTCAAATAAGTATTGTTTTTAATTAATAGATGGACTTTGCATTTCAACAAATCCAAATATAAATAGAAGTTTTAACATTGTTTTTGTTTCAAGTATGTGGAAAGATTATATTGTACCAAGATCGGTACTTAGTAGAATTTTACTTCACGAAGTGGGACATTCATTTGGATCTAAGCACGACAATAAAAACAATATTAAGTGCAGCCCAAGAAAACAAAAAGGAAAATACGTTATGCATAATACAATTTCTACTACCGTTCGCTTTAATAATTGGAAATTCTCACCCTGTAGTAAGAGACAAATATCAAAATCAATTATTAAGAAAATAGGTAAAACGTGCTTTATTTAATATAATTATATATTAAAAATTATATGTAAGAATATTATTTGATTTGTTCTTTTATTTACAATTTTTAAAAAGAATTTAGTATACATGTTGACCCCCCCTATAACACTGTTTATTTTTCCTTTTTATATGAATTCCATGTTGTACGAGTCACTTAGATTTTACAAATACGTGTGCCGGACTGTGAACGGCTCACGTATTTGTAAAATGTAAGTGACTTGTGCAACATGGAATTCATATAAAACGGAAAAATCAACAGTGTTATAGGGGGGTCGACTGGTATTTAAAAGAAGAAATTTAAAATTCCATTATCAGATTGCTTTTTTAATGAAATGGAATCTGTATGTGGCAATGCAATAACCGAGAAAGGGGAAGAATGCGATTGTGGACCAATTGTATCTTGTCAATATCTCGATCCTTGTTGCTATCCACCCGGATCAATCCACGAATGCACTCTTAAAAAACATACAAGAAATTTCTGTAGTCCTAGAGAAGGTGTTTGCTGCACTGAAGATTGTAGATTTATTCCAAAAAGTGAATATCGTACTTGTTACGTTGACGTTCCTTGTAGAAAATATAAAACAATTTGCAATGGAAAGTCTTCATCGTGCCCCGAGATTTATACACCTAAAGGATCTTCTTGTCATAATAATAAAGGGAGATGCCTCAGGTAATTAATTATAAAGATAAAAAAAATTAAATATTCACTTCAGTTTATTGAAATTTTAATATTTTACAGCAATGGAACGTGTTATTTATCACAGATAGAAGACGAAATTCAATGGTATATTATACCTAATTTTTTGACATATATCTTACCTTTATTTGTATTTATAATGTTATATTTTCCAAATTTCTTATGTTATCAATATGAATTACATCGTCGATCAATTCGAAAAGCCAAAACAAAGCAATAATTGATTATAACTGTTTATATCTTCAAAAGATCAAGATGTCGTCATATTACTGAAATACGTTCTGAAATTAAAATATTTAAATATATTTTAAAAACAAGTGAATTTGATTTATATTCTTTATAACTGTTTACATTATTAATTCATAATTTGTATGGTTTTTACTTTCTCGGCTTTGTTATAAATAACACAGGGAAATTATGGCAATTGACCAAAAACTCACCCCTCCAAGATATATTTTTTTTGTTTACATTTTTGAACTCGTGGACCTCGAAACGTCGACAAATACAATAAAATTCGGGGGTAATTTCTGTATGTATTGATGTTAGTGTCCTGTGTTTGTGTGTGTTTTGTTTGGGGCATGATTTTGTTAACACTCTTCGAAGCTTAAGTTAAATTAATATTACATCTGTAGGCATTTTTATGCATGAAATACAGCTAAAATGGAGGAAAGAAGATTATTTTTGGGAACAGGAATGGATTAATTCATTATATATTGTTTTTTATGGGTTAATTTGTTTCGGTTTTCAAACAACTTTTAGGAAGGAATTATGTTCGAAAACCGAGGTTTTGTTTGGCTTTTTTTATCTTGTGGGCAGCAAAAAAGCATTTCTAATCGTATTCAACGTAGATTCCGTCAGGCCTACAATTGGAGATAATGAAGAACGGAACCTGATATATCCGGAACTGACCCCTGATATTGTATGTTAAATAGCCACGCAAACTATTTAAAATTTAGAACTGTAACTTTGTATATATCCAAAATCTGTAGCTGTGTCGTTTCAAACTAATACAGAGATAATAATTTAAGTACAAAGATAATAATTATGAAAAACAATCCAGCAACGAGTTGCGTAACTTTCCCCGCTACGTTAGATAGCGCCATCTGTTATGCTATTTTGTTTAAAAACGTTTTATATTTTTCACTATTATAAAATGACGAAAAGCTTAATTTTAAAGGTAGGGATGGGTTTTATAAAAAAAATTGTAAATGATAATAACGAATAAAATTGTCATTAAGTCTGACACTACTGTAGATACATACTACCTCCTTTATCTCTCCACCCACTTGACCTTTAACCGCCAGAATTTAACAGCACCAATCCCTATTATACACAATACCCTCTGCAAAATTTCAGAAATTTTCTATAAAAAGCACAGAAGTTATTAAGCTTCAAATAGGGTGAACAATCGAGCACGATTGGAAGTTTTAACTAGAAATGATGGAAGGTATCTCAGTAATGTCATTTTTGGAAAATAAAATATATTGTTCTTATTAATGATGAATATTAAAATATATCTGTGTGATTTTTAAAATAAAATAATAATAAAAACAAATCTATAGTTTTATTTAATTCGACTTTTAAAAACCAGATGGCCCTAGGTGATTCAGAAAAACGTAGTTCCTAAACAAAGCAGCAAAGTATTGAGGGAGAGAGGAGGGAAATTTAAGATAATAAATTCCCCCCTCTCTCTCCCTCTAATATAATAATATAAATATAAAATTTATAAAAGTTATTAAATTTCTTATTCTTGTAACAGTTGTTTTACATTTGAATAATGAGAAAGTAGTGTATGTTACTTTCCCTGTTCTGTTATATATAAAAAGGGATAGTGTGGTGATCGGTGAAGAAATAACCCTCCAAATTTTTAAATTTTTGGACTCAAGAAATCTTGAAACGTCGAGAAAGCAAAAAGGGCTTTTTTCCTGTATGTATGGAGATTAATGTGTGGTGTGGTCACAATTTTGTTCACCCTTTTTGAAGCTTAATAACTCCTGTGCATATTGTGAAATTTTGAAATTTCGCAGAGAGGTTTGTGTATAGGGAGAATAAAGCTATTAAATTTCAGGTCAGTTAATTAACTTACTGATAACCATACATCCCGACTTTATTCTATGTCAGTGGGTTTTTAATGGGGGAGATTTTGGACAAATATATACTCCAGATACTGTGCGGTAACGAATCGAAAAAATTTAACAAATTTATAGAAACCGGATAACTGAGAAGGTTAGAACCTCCTCAGTCATCCCAATTTTTCAGCCTAATGCTCTGGAGAACTTGGGATTAAATCCGGCAAATAATCCCTGGAGATTTTCTGACCGGTTGCATCACATCTCTAGCTAAAAGTTATGACGAAATTATTACTTTAAGACAATAAAAATCCATTTCAGTATGAAGAAGTCTAACTGACAAGATGAAATTTATTAAGTAAAACATAGTAATATCGTTAATACCTAAAGCCCCTTACCATGTCTAACACTGTTCTGTTTCTAATAAGATCTCTTACAATCTTATATTAAAATTTTACTTATTTAAATTAAGATTTTAAGATAAGTTATTCCTATAAAGATATACAGTATAGTAAAGTAACTAGAATCACGAAAATATCTTAGATCTATAAATTCCCACTGTCGTCAAACCGTCTGTCTGACGTTTCTCAGTCTCGAGAATGGTGTTGGATAGAAGAAAAAGATATAAAAATCTTTGGGAAAGAAGTTACATTATTTCTATTCAAAAATTTTCCCCTGAAAGGGATTAGATGAATGACCAGTACGACTCTATTGTTAAAGGAAAAGTATGATGTACAGGGGCAAACCACTACTAATTTGAGGTGGAGAGCATATATTTGAAATTAAATAAATTTAAAATTTGATTAAAATTGCAGCACGGTATTGTGACGATGACACAATAAATAATTGCTCGTTCTGACATACTGAAATAGTACAGTAGACCCCCTATAACACTGTTGATAATTCCGTTTTATATGAATTCCATGTTGTACGAGTCACTTAGATTTTACATATACGTGTGCCGGGCCATGAACAGCTCACGTATTTGTAAAATCTAAGTGACTCGTACAACATGGAATTCATATAACATGGAATTATCTATAGTGTTATAGGGGGGGTCTACTAAGTATCTCAATGTTATATCTGCATTGTCGTCTGAATAAAAACTTATATTATTAGTTATATAATTATGGCTTATAATTTAAATAATAGCATTAATTGTATTTCATTATATTTTATAAATTATACTGGAATACATTTTATCTTTTTCCAACAAGTCTCATTTTTTCCATTAAAAAAATCTGAAAGAAATGAAGATCTATTTAAATAAACTCCCATTGCTTTTTTAAAACAGTAAGTTTGTTTGTCGTCTTTTGAGATTCAAGGAAAGTTTAGAACTGTCAGATGTCCAGAAAATGAGAGAATAATGGCTAATGCATTTTTCTCAAAAATCAAAAGTTAAAGAAAAACAAATTTAATCTTTTTTCAAAAAATATTTTAAATGTGCATTATATTTTTTCGTAAGCAAATATATAAAAAAAAACAATATTATAATGAGTAAAAATAAACTTTTTACTCAATACAATAATGTATTACGTAAAAATAAACGTTAACTACTTCATCAATAATAGAAATATGGTTACCGGATCATCACCGTTTGTTTTTCTTTGTCGTGTTTGATTCTCACAGAAATACAGTAAATTATATAATATTTTAATAGAATATATAACAAATTACTCCCTTTATTTAATAAATTTTGCGATAGAAATTGTAAAAAATTATTTATTGGCAAAAATGGGAGTTATACAATACCACCTTCGAAATACTCCCCTTCTGCATAGCTGCAGAAGGGGAGTATTTGTATTTTATTTATTCCATATATACGAAAAGTGGGACCCTTTCTAACATTTATAAGTGATGTGTTAGGTATATTCGGACGTCAGACTAAAATGTGTCACGTTTTGGATTAGGTCCGAGGCCACTACTTCTCTACAATATACGTTATTAACATTATACTTTTCACTTTCTGTTGTATTTTTTTCAAAATATTATTAGAATTTCCATTTTATTTAAATAAGGGAGATCTACTAACGAAAAGGGGAACGACCCATGTGAAACTGACCTACATTTAAGGATTTCTTCCACTTTATGGGAGAAATCCTTATTTATTGGGCAGCAATTTGAAAAATATTGTATATCTAAAAATTCCTACTCTTTGTATACCTGTATTTCCTTAAACTCCAGAATAAAGTTAGATAGATAAAAGTCAAGACCATATATGGAAAGCTTAGAGGCAGGAAACCCCAACTAACTATATAGAAACGTCTGATACAAATTGAAAGTAAGGTTAATTCAATTCAAATATTTTCCCCTGAAAGGTGTTAGATGGATGACCAGCACGACTCTATTGTTAAAGGAAAAGTATGATGTACAGGGGCAAACCACTACTAATTTGAGATGGAGAGCGTATATTTTAAATGAAAAATGTGAAAAATGTGATTGTAATTATCATTTTTGACACAAATTTTAGACATTTAATTGAAATTATTTATAATTATACAAAATCAGAGTGAGAAATATTAAGGACTAACCAGGACGGGTTGGCCAAGTGGTGTTTTCTGAGTTTTCTCCAAGTCTGTAACGCCTAAATAGGTGCAAATTATCTTAAAAACACCTATCGGAATGCATCCCCTAGGCAAATCTCTCAAGTGTTGCATTGCTGTAACTTAAGTAAATAGTGAAGACATTAAATCTTAATTGTATTTAGTCTTCAATTTTTAAAAATATCTTTCTTTTTCCATATTTAGAAATTTTTTCAACAAATATTTTTACTATAATACGGTACCAGAAGAGCTTTTTATATATTCATAAGAAGGGAAGAGTCTGAAAGGAAGGTCGACTCTGCTTATTACATTCTTGACTGAGTTTTTTAGTGCAAGTTTGTTTAGTAGTTATATTTATTTTAAGTTATTTTTTTCGTTTAAAATGAATTTTTCATATTTTAATTTAAACAATAGCGTAAATAATGCTGGCCACTATCTGCCATTTCAAATTGTCTAAGTTCTTACAGTTTCAAATGGTTTAAAATTTGACAAAATGGAGATCTCAATCATCCCATAAGAATTCTATGATATTTAAATTGGGATTTGAATAATAAATCTAATATGTTTATTTACTTATATGACAAATAGTCTATGAATACTTTATATTTAAATTTATGTATAGAAAATCTAATTTTCAACGCTGAAAATTTAATAACATTGCTTTCTGG